AAGAGTATTAGAAAAAATATTAAGGCACAAGAACAATAAAAGAACTGCAATTAAAAAACTGAAGATAACGATTGACCATGAATTTAAATTTTTGAGGATCAAAGTTGACTGGAAAGCAAGAAGGTGAAAGAGAGTTCAACGAGGGAGAAATGCGGGAAAAGAAACTGTTAGCATAGAACTTACGGTTACAGTCATTTCCACTGTAAAATGATGGGATCTTGCCGATAATCTACTTCTACGCTTGAATTCATAGAGTCTATGTACCATAGATAGATAGATAGATAGATAGATAGATAGATAGATAGATAGATAGATAGATAAAAAATACTTTCATACTAATTGTTCGAATTAACATTTTCTATAGTACCTAGAGTCTATGGATTTAAGCATATTACTAGATTAGCAACACGGTCCCATAGGTTTACAGTTGAGTTGGCTAGATGCAACTATATGTTCTTTTCTCGCACTACTTACTCTCTTTCGGCTTCTTACTTTCCAGCCAACTTTGACCTTTAAAAATTTGAATGCAATGTCAATCGTTATCGCCTGCCTTCCTGATTTCTCTTCTATTATTCTCGCTCTTCAATAATGCTTCAGTTTTCTCATTCTCTCACATCCAGTCTTGTGTCTTAGTGTCTTTACTACTTGTCATGCAGTGAACCAATTTAAAAGAAAAAGTAAAAGAAAAAGGTAGTAATGATATTGTAATTGTTAATTCATATTTCAATTATTATTATTATTTCCTTGGAGTTGTCTACACATTTCCTTCCGGGTTCCGGCCAGAGATCGAAGGTCAGAAATGTCTTCATCGTATTTGTTTGTAACTGAGATTATTATTATTATTATTATTATTATTATTATTATTATTATTAGGCGTCATCAGAAGGGTTCTATTATAAATATGATATGGAAAGGACAGATATATTAACAAAACTAAACAACATTTCTGTTTTTTCTTAACCCAAATATTTATTAATACCAGTAACTTTTCAAAATTTCATCCTCAAAATTTCTAACTCCTTCCATGACAATCGTGACTGTGCTATTCAATGGCATGTATTACCAGGAAACTCCTCTATCTAATCTCATTATCTTCCATCTGGTCTTTTCCTACTTGATTTGCTAATGAGTACATCAAACAACTTTTTTTCTCCATTTGTTAACTTTTCTTCTCGCTCTGTCCCACTCACTTCCTTTTTGTAGTTTAATCAATTTTATAATATTCTTTATATTGGTTTGTTTTTTCTCATACATGTTAGCCTCTTTTTGGCTCTTCGGATTATCACTGAAATTGATCTTTGTGTGTGTGTGTGTTTAGTTTGTTTTCAAGTGATTTTGCTAATTCCCATATTTTGCATCCCTCCGCCATAGTTGCCAATGTAAATTCAATATACACCTGAGGATTTAAGTATATTGACAAGGTGCTCTTCCTTATGTCTTAATATTTTCATGGCAAACGTTTGAACGAACTACATTCCTTGCTTGCACGAATCCAGACTTTCACAGCTAGGATCTACCATGCCACAATCAATGAATCGACTCATATTCATTCCCTTTGTATTCTATTGGCAAAGAAGACGTTCCTCTCATCTTCTTCTCCAGAAGTGTTGCAATGTGAAACAAATTCACGAAGGATTGCTTCCCAGATGACTACAATTTTAACTTCTTCAAATCGTGGGTCCACAAATATCTATCCTATATATCCTCATAATATACGATCCATCCCCTCCTTATATACACCCTTATTATTTATTGGGTGAACAATAGTAAAATATAAAAAAATCAATGCTTTTCATCCGGTCGTTGTACGTCGTTTTATATAATTTGCTTTACATATTATATATCTGTGATTTACATGCTATATATATATATATATATATATATATATATATATATATGTGTGTGTGTGTGTGTGTGTGTGTGTGTGTGTGTGTGTGTGTGAATATATATATGTATATATATATTCGTTCGCTAGCTCAGTCACTAACACTAGTTTTAAGATCTACCACAACTCTAACTGTAGAAGTCATAACATAATTTATTTATCAGAATGCACACTATGCCAGAAACAATATGTGGGAAAATCTGAAGGGCCCTTTCACTACAGTAATATCAATTATCGGAATCGGATTAAGTCGGCTTACCACGAAAGATTATTACTTGTGGAACAACATTTGCGCCTAGAAAATCATGATCTTAATAGCCATGCAAAATTCACTATTATTGAAAGAATAGAAATATACACAAAAGATAAAGTTAAGAAAATATTAGAAGAATATGAAGACAAATGACTTTTGCGCCTCAAAATAATTTATCCGGGCGGATTTAACAGCAAAATAAACAGCACAGATAGAATTATTATATAACCCTATAGATACCCACCCCCACCCATAGTTATCTCTCACACATTATAATCTGTGCATAGTTGAATATACTCTACTGTTACTACACAGAAGAGGACATCAGCCATAAAGGGCCCAAGCTGACTCCACTAACCCCTCTCACCCTCATCCTCGCTAGACAGACATGCTTGTAGAGGTGATGAGGTCTTCGACATACACACACTCACACAAATATATACATATACACACATCACGCACACTAAAAAACTCAAAGTTAACATACACATAACACACACATCCCCTTCCCAGCAACGAATAAAGCTGTCAAAATGACCGAGGAGGTAAATCTGAGACTCATGAGTTCCCCACCCTCTCCTTAAAATAACTTGAAAAAGGCCTTTAAGCAATGCAAGGACTGACAAAAATTAACGATAAAAACAAATGAAAACTACAGGCAAAGGTCACCTTCTTCAGAGACAGTCCTTCACCCCTGTAGTTCACTGCTATTAACAATCAGGAAAATTTCTCCTGATGATGATCATGCTGGCCGAAACTAGTCGAGGAACCTAATTTAAAAAATAAAGCAAAATTATTAATATACGACCAAGTGCGTCTGAAATTTTAATTTTTAATATTTTTTTCAAGACATATATCATAGAAGAGAGAGAGAGAGAGAGAGAGAGAGAGAGAGAGAGAGAGAGAAATCAACAGTGCATGGTGATTAGTAGTTTCCCCCTCTAAGCGATTATCTAAATATCTAGAAAAACTCTGGCTTATGTCCATATCTCTTTGAAACACCGGTTCTTCTGCGATTGCTAAAGTTAAGCAACATTGAACCTGGTCAGTAGCTAAATAGACGACCATTTGGGAATACCAAATGCTATAACTCTGATGTGCGGGTGGTGTAATGGGTGACACTTCAGAATTGGAAACTGGAAAGCAGATTTCCAATTCCATTCGGCTTCATTATATTCATTTGCGCGTTTAAATAACCTGCAAAAGGTTGGTAAACCATAAAACAATCGGTCATTAAAAGCTATCCGTCTGAGATATTGAGCACTTTTCCCTATAATTATAATAAATTTTAAACCACACGTACGCGCACGCGCGCGTACACACACACACACACACACACACATATATATATATATATATATATATATATATATATATATATATATATTAAGAGAGGGTGCCATGGGTAAATTATCGCCATTTTATATTTTTAATTTCGCGCATGCATTTTGTTTGTTTTTGATTTTGTCAACTGCACAGTATAGTAAGGTGAATTGGGCACCGTCTGTTAGAAAAGCAGCATAATGACGCAATTCACTCTGCCAAAACGTTGGTAACGGCATGTTATACTGTTTGGCACTCACACCGGGAGCTCCAATATAAAAATTTCAGAATGCTTGGGTGTCAATCTGAGGACAGTGCAGCGGATTCGGAAAGAGTTGGTGATTACGAAGGTACGACAGCTCAGAAAACTCACTTTGATCATTTCGATAAGTAAATAACTCCAGAATTTGTTGGTGAGAACCTCAAACTCAACACGGACGTCTACATTAAGTGCCTTCAAAGTGTAGTGCTGCCCTGGGTCAAGAGGGTGGCTGCTGGAAAACCTTATGTCTGGCAACAGAACTATACACCATGTCACACAAACAGGAGAACCTAGTCATGGCTGTCAGACAATTTCTGCGACCACATTACCCCTTACATCTGGCTGCCCAGACTGCAATCCCCTTGATTATTACGTGTGGGACGCAGTTGAGCGAGAGACCAATAAAACTCCTTGTAACACAAAAGATGAACTGAAGCCAAGGATTAGGACAGCATTCATCAACTTAAAAAAAGATACTATCCACAAAAGTTGCAGGAGATTCTGAAGTCGTCTAGAAGCTGTAGTTGAAACCAATGGCGATAAATTTACTCTAGAATTTCAAGATATTTTTGTGTAATTCTGGTAAATATATCTGTTAAAATGAGATGTCAGTGTTATTTTAATTTCTGTGTAGTTGAGACGACAATTTATCCATCGCACTCTGTATATATGTTTGCGTGTGTGTATTTATGTTTCACTTATATATTTCTTCACACTAACAGTAAAACTATCCAATTCCCGGCTATTTTTACCTTCCACGCATTTGCTCTCATCTATCCACTCTTACATAAAATAAGCACCGAGTTTTTTCGTCTTTTTTTCTGGTTTATTATCCTTTTAACTTTTTAACTTCTGCTTCTTTCATTTTTTACACTCTCTCCCTCTCCCCGACGCCGCGCAAACGCAATCATTCAAAAGCGCGAACTGATTTAAACTTTCTTTAAACAACAGTCTCTTTTCAATGACGTCAGAGGAAAATATTCTTCCGTTCGTTAGCGATTAACATTTTTTTGACCGACCCACTCCAGGGGAAGCAGGAAAGACAGTTGTAGAAACAGGAAACAATCGTAGACGCCGTATAGTTTTTATTATTGGTGAATTCAGACAGCTCTCTCGTTCACTCACAGCTGACAAAAATTCAAATGCTACGGATGTAGCTCAGTTTAGTAGTAGCTAAATAATTGCGATCCACGTTCGAATTCTAGTCCAAACTGCTCTTCTTACTTCTGGGCGAATTCTATAATACGAAGTTCAAGCACATCTGAAAGAAGGGCACAATGATAAAATACCCAGCGAAGATCGAACTCCTTAACAATTTCTTTTTGTTCCCTCGACTGCTTCCAGTCGTCGAGGTGTTAAGAAGAAACAGAGTTTTTATTCTTCTTCCACGTGATCCTTTCAGTGGACTTTCAGATAGCTTGGCGGCACCCATCTCTTTTTCAAGCTCTTGACCGACATCCGGAGACCCCGAAATATGGTGTGAGTGGTCCTCGGTCCGTACACTAGACCATCAGGTTTTAATTCAGAGTTGTCCTTCTCCTAGACCGATTGCTACTCAAGGCTATAGAATCCAGTTTCTTCTACTATTTCCCCATAGCTGGGCGGAGAATAGATGGATTCATACCTTTCCCAAGGATATTAGCACCTAAGGGAATGTAATGAACTCGATTGAGCTTCGAACTTTGCTCTTCGATTCCTCAATTCGAGCCCTACGTTAACAATAAGCTGCGCATTATCGCTCTGTAGAAACTATAAGTATATTTTAAGTTTAATGTGGCACAAGGCCTTAGGTATGAGGCAACCTGTGAGGATCGAAGTAATTACTTAGTGGTAATGACAGTTTTGCTAGCCATTGATCTATTGGTTTATTTTGTACAAAGCCAAAAGTGTAGAGCCCATAATTGATTCAGGAAAACAGAAAATGGCGATTGACGTTGCATTTAAATTTTTGAGGATTGTAGGTGACAGCGAAGCAAGATAACGGAAGAGAGTTTCACGGACGAGAAAAGAATTTATTAGAACTTCACTGACAGTTACATCAACCTAGTACAACAGTAAAACGATGAGATTTAGTTGCCAATCTGGTAGTATGCTTGAATTCATTTGGCCGAGACGCGAAGGGAGAAAGCTGATCAAAACAACTGCCATGAAAATATTTGTAGAAAAGACAAGGAAACCACGTATCGGCGGTGAGAAAGTGACTGATTACATTAATCCATTCTTTGGATTTTGTCGAGAATCCCGTGGCATATAGTCGTGGCAGCAGAAATATTCAATGTCCGGACGAATGGTAGAATTATAAATATGCAAGATGGGTTCTAACGAGAAAAATTGCCTGGCAAGACACAGAGAACTAACTTTCCTAGCAAGAGATCTAGCAACTGATTCAATCTAATCTTTCCATTTTATGTAAGTGGAAAATGTGAGCCCAAGAAGGCTCAACGAGTTTCTGTTCTGGAGGTCAGCATCAGCCATGGAAGGCAAAAAAGTTTTCTATGGAGAAATGAAAACTGTTTTGTTTTGGAGGCGTTAAAATTTACGAGCCATTACTTGCTTCGGTTAACCACTGATTTGAGGTCATTTTCAAAAGTGTATTCTTTCAACTCGACTTTCATTACATGATTTCTTAAGAACGATCAGAGTTAAACTAGCGCTTGGGCTTGTAGAGAAGGCCAGTATGCCAAACCTTGTAGAACGCCTCCCAGATATCTAAAGCCTCGCTGTTCTTATCTAAAACCTGAAAGACGAATTCAGACAAAACCATTAATACATCGGCGGTTGACCTAGAGAAAAGAAAAGTCATATTGTTTATTCGAAAGAAGGCAGTGTGAAGTGAGATGCTTAACCAATTTGGAGTTGATTACAGCCTCTATTACATTGCCAAAAAGAGGTAAAAACTAAGAGGCAATAATTCGAGGGATCAGAAGGTTTACCAAAGTTCAGAAAGACAGGAACTAAAGACAAGGATTTCCAAGAAGCTGGAAAGCAAGAGGCAGAGATGCAATTATCGTAGAGTTTGGAGAGAACAGGAGCCAGTTCAGGATTACATTTATTTAGGACGATTGCATCGGTATCGTCAAATCTACAAGCTTGTGGGGATTTAGTTTGGACATGTTAGTAGGAACCTGAACTTATCTGAAATTTTATTCGATATTATTTCTCTTAGTTTGGCCATAAAGCTGCTGATATCCCTTTAAATATAATCTCTGCTCCGGAATTGTTTCTGAAGCGCAAACAAAAACATTTATTTGTAAAATAGTTTTAAAGAAGAAATGCAAAGAAAATGAAAAAAAAAAAAAAGAAAAAAAATACTATTTCATACTATTTAAAAATTTCATATATAATAAGACGAGGTTAGATCCGATCTATACTAGACAATACAGACGATAAAACATGCCAACGGAAAACGGAAATTATATATATATATATATATATATACAACAATCTATTTCTTGTTAAAAACTGGCTAAATGTATAGCCAAAAGCATTCGGAAAAAAAGAACAATTGGACAGTCTGATCTATGTACTGAAAAGAAAAAAAATTATAAGATTACATAAGAAATTGTATAAAAAACTAAATCAAAGAATCTTGTGTATGATATTCAATGAAACGTGCATGAAAGAAGCATTGCTGCCTAAATACACGCATACACACACACACACACATATATATATAAATATATATATATATATATATATATATATATATATATATTGGTTTTATTTCTTTCTGTAGTGACAGGCATAAAAGATGGACCGCTGCCGGCCTACGCAGCCAAAGAACCTGATCAACCATTGATAAAAACCGAAGTCCCCGGCCCTCGATCGCTGGCCCTCAAAGAAGAGCTTGGCTCAGTGCAGGTAAGTTTGTCTTGAGTCAGCTAAAAACTGAAAAAAGTCTGTATGAAATTTAGATAAGTATTTTTAATGATTTCTTCCCTTAAGCTTAACTTTAGATCATCATTGACCAAGATGAAGAGAAAGAAAGCTAGTAGGAGCAGAGTTGATTGTAATAGAAATGCTGACAGACGAAGACGAACTGGGAATCGATAAATTTACCGAAGTTATTGATGAAATATCGTCGTCGGCACAAGCTCTCATCCGAGCATCAGGATCATCATCCTCTCTCCGTATTCCTTTTCTCTCTCCAAATGGCGGTGTCGGAGATGGCTGTGAACTAATAACTGTTTTACGAGGCCATTTGTGTGAAGTTCATTTTGGTGCGACGGAGAAGCCAACCAATTAGCCAGTAGTGCCTCCCTCGCAAACCAAATGGGATTGAGACAAACGAGATTTGGGAATCTTGGATGCATCGGGCTGTCGGATGCTTGGTTTGTCATGATCCGCCTTGGATACACCAGCCCGACTGGCGCTGCCCTCATCCCCCAGTTTGGCCGTTGAGATCGTGTAGATCTTTGCCTATTCCGCCACTGAGGTCTTCGGAGCTTGGTCGTGTTCAGTCTGGTGTTTCGTTCTTCTAACTTACCGCTATGAGTGGCCCTATATGACGGCGTGGAAATACCGGAAGAGCTCAGTAGATCAATTTTCATAGCGTTATCAAAGAAACCTGATGTGAACGAATACGAATTAAATCGGATAATCAGCTTGATAAGCTACATAACTAATAATTACTATTATGATTAGATCTCGTAGCAGAATTAAACAGGAAATAGGGCACAAATAATGACACTGGAACAAGAAATGCAATTTTTATGATCAGATGGATATCAGAGCGAGCAACAGAAGTGCAGAAAATCTATAACTGCGTTTTGATAGATTGAAAAAAGGTATTTAGTTTAAGAACGACACCATTAATATTATCAAATCTTGATTTACATAGTAAAGATAGTCAAATAATCTGTAACCGCTACTGAGAACAAACAGTTTGCATATGGATAAAGAACGAGATAAGTGAATACGCAAAACAGAATAAAAACAGGCTTGTGAGCCTTACCGTGATTAACCAGTCGGATGTCACCTACGCTAAATTAAAAAAAAAAAAAAATTACCATCGCCCGAGGAGACATATTTGTAGTGTGGAAACATAAATGTAATTGTGTAGCGATTTTTAACATGTTTTTGTTTTAATATCCTAAAATAAATAATATTTAGCTCTACTCTGTAATTAACCCTCTTTTAAATCAAATGTTACATACAGAAGAATTATGTTCCATTTGTTCTCATTTCACTTGATATATATATATATATATATATATATATATATATATATATATATATATATATATAAGACATTTTTATGTTTATACATTCTTTTTTATAGATACAAATATTTAAGTAAATGCTCTGTTTATAATAAACAGTATTAAACGACATTTCTATCCCACGAACGCAGGTGTTCCCAAAGGCTCCATCCCTGGCCCCACTCTATTCCTTATTTTCATCAACGACCTTCCTGACGCCATAGATTCCCAAGTTGGCATCTACGCTGACGACACTACAATTTACTCCTGCCTCAAAAACAAATCTAGTGTCGCTGACAAAACTAACCTGACCGCTCGTCTTGAAATGGACCTCCAATCGGTTGTTAATTGGAGAAAGAATTGGCTGGTCAACTTTAATGCCTCAAAAACTAAACTACTCTCTATTAATCACCACAGAGATCCTTCTCTGCCCTCCATTAGAATGTCTGACGTTCAACTTCTTTAGAGCAACTCTCTGCGTCTGCTCGGTCTCACGTTGACTGCTGACCTGAGATGGAACAAATACATTGAGTCCATTGCTTCCCCCTCCGCGAGGAAAGTTGGCTCTCTGTGCCGCGCCAGGAAATTTTTCTCCCCGGAATCGATACTTCAAATATACAAATCAACCATTCGCCCTTGCATGGAGTATTGCTGCCATATATGGTCTGGTGCACCTTCTGTTTACCTCGGAGTTCTTGACAAGATCCAGAGACGGATATGTAATATAATTGTCCCTGATCTGGCATCTCGTCTACAGTTGCGCTCTCACAGACGCGCCGTCGCCTCTCTCCGTGTTTTTTACAAGTACTTTCATGGTAATTGGTCCGATGAGCTGCTTTCACTGGTTCCCAGACTTCATGAATTCAAGCGCCCTACGAGGCTGGCATCCCGCTCTCACCCTTTCACTGTAGAAACTTTTAAATGTAGCCGTCTCTTCTACTTCAATAGCTTCATACCTCGCACCTCTCGCCTGTGGAACACCCTTCCCTATTACTGTTTCCCTGAGAGCTATAATCTCCAACTATTCAAATGTAATATCAATCGACATCTCCAGTTACCTTGATCTATCCACTATCCCTCTCCTCATCCTTTCTTCTATCACTCCTATCTGCTCTCGCTCCAAATCTTCTGCAACCCCCTGCATCCTAGTGGATTCACGCCTTGCTCGGGGCGTAATGCTTGAAAAAAAAAATTACCGGCCTGAATGTCCGAGAAATTTTTATGGAAAATATTCAGTAAATTCGACCTTGCTAATCGAACGATTCTCTGTGGCTCGATCGATTAAGAGCACGCCAGGCTAAATGACGTTTTCGTATAGGATACAGGTTCGAATCCTGTCAGAAAACGAATATTTTCTATGAAAATTTCTCGGACATTCAGGCCGGTAAATGTTGTTTAATACTGTTTATTATAAACAGCGCATTTACTTAAATATTTGTATCTATAAAAAGAATGTATAAGCATAAAAATGTCTTAAAAATAATTGACTTTGTCCATTTCATTATATATATATATATAGAGAGAGAGAGAGATTGTTCACGTTTGCTTCTTATAGAATATAGCTATATTATTCCGATGAAAGTACAATGAATAATAAGAAGTGGTGTCGTGACAGTTGATAATTTGATTTTCAATCTATCTTTTACTGACAATCAATATATTTACGAATCTAACCTTAGTTTGCTACCAGGCCATATTCGAGGAAATAGGCCAAGGGAGATCGTGCTGCGTCGAAATTTCAAGCGGAAAATTGGTATCTACTTTTCTGCCTTCAATAAAAGGTATTCGAAGTTCATACCTTTGCCTGCGCTTGAACACCTTCTCTCATATGTAGTCTACAGGCCATATTACCAGCAATTAAAACGAAAAATTAAAACAAGCATCCAGTAACCCTTTGTGTCTTCGCGGCTTGCTTGGGTTAAATTCGATTAAAAAACAAACACGTTACAATATCTTCACAATGAAACCTGTCTATTAACATATATATTAACAGTATATTTCCTTTCGAGCACACCTGCCTTTTTATTTCTCTTGTTACTTTTTTTTTCTTTTCTCGTTACAGAATTCTGGTTCAGTCGTGTTTTTTACTGACTACGATAAATCGCAAGGCAACTACATTGCAGATGCCGATGGAAATCTCTTACTTGACCTCTACATGCAAATCGCTTCCATGCCTTTAGGTAAGACCATTAAGATCTACGTATCATCTATATTTACATTGGAGAGAGAGAGAGAGGGGAGGAGCGAGAGAAAGCAAGAAAGAGAGAAAAAGAAAGAAAGAGAGAAGAAAGGAAGAGAGATTTATAAAGAGATAAAGTTAGAGAAAAGAAAGAAAGAAAAAAGTAGAGGAAAGAAAGAGAAAGAAACACAGAGAGAGAGAGAGAAAAGAGAGAGAGAGAGAATAAAGAGAGAAAACAAGAAAGAGAGATTGCCAAAGAAATAAAGTTGGAGAAAAGAAAAAGGAAGAAAAAGATAAAAGAAGAAAAAAGACAGAGGAAAAAACGAGAGGGACAAAGAGAGAGAGAGAGAGAGAGAGAGAGATAAAAGAGAGACTGCATGTGTGAGAGTGAGAGAGAAAGAAGGAGAGGGTGAGTGTCCATAGACATTGGATTCCGCAACCCACGCATATACTAAATCTGCCGATATTCATGTAACTTAAATAAAATTGTGTAGTATTTGCGTATATTTGCTGGTATTACTATAAATACTATCCAAACCACTTATACAATGCCAATGCTGATTTTAATTTCGACATCTTGCCATACGGTCTCGACGATTTTGACGTTTGGCAATTGAGTCGGATACAGCATCGGCGGTGTAGGGTTCTGACTTAATTTGGTGATGAGTTTTAAGTCATTATCTTACAAGAAACAACCGATCCATATAATTTAGAGTATACTGTAGCATAACCTTTTCAATAATTCTAGAAAAGACTGAATATCAATAGGTTTACGGCCATATCACGTTGAAACACTAGTTCACGTACGATCACCGAAGTTAAGCAATGTCGAGTTAGATGGGTGACCGCTTGGAAATATCAGGTGCTGTAAGTTTGGATGTCTCAAAATTGTTAATCGGTGAGTCGAAATCATATTTCATTTGGGTTCATTAAATTTACTTAGACACCAATACATTTTAGAAAAATATGAATCCAGTGGCGTAGCTAGAGTAAACTTCACCCGGGGCGGTCCGCTCAAATGTCACCCCAATGACCCCGATTCACCCTATGCTGAATGGTTAGCTGTAGCTAAATTTTCATACATGCTCTACCTCTACTTTACTCTACTGACCGGTACGTTACTGTTTACATGTATGATCCAAGACAAAATCCTATACCACAAAATAATCAGTTCAAATCAAAAGCTGAAAACATTGCTGTTTTTCCTACTCACAAATTTCCGGACAATTTATTAGAAAATTTCTGACGGGGGGACAAATCTGGGGGGTCATAAATTATTTCTGGGGAGTCATATGCCCGCCTGCGAAACCCTGTCTCCACCACTGTTTTCAGACTATTTTTGGCACCTTAGCCTGGTTGAAAAATTTTGTTGGGGGTGACATTGTGTCACCCCTCCTGTGCTGGCACCCGGGGCGGTCCGCCCCGCCCCCTTAGCTACGCCACTGTATGAATCCTCCCTCAGTTATGAGTTAATTAGTTGGACTTTAATCACTAAACTATTATTATCTCCAAAAATAAAAAATAATATTGCGTACAAAATATCTCACATTCCCTAGAGTCGTGAATCTTACTATGAAAAGATTCTGCTTAATTGTTGAAGTATTCATTTTCAACATTCGCTAAGGGTAGATGTAAGTAAAAGAAAAAAAGATTTTAAATGCTAATTGTTTTAAAACAATTACACGCAACTCATTTGGAAATTTCTTATTCCTATTCTTGTAGATCTCCTTTTGGGTATATAGCGACAGCCAAAAGCCCGTTAGTTGCTACTAATGTAATTCCAATAACAAGTAGGTTTTATTTATGGGGTGGAGTTATCAACCTCACGGCGAACCGATGCTGAATTTAGAGCTGTGTTTTTTTTTTTTGTAGACTGGCTGCTGACCAAGGCTAGAGAGTCCGATGTGACTTGATATTTATTCCATAGCTGTGTGAGAATGGATAGATTTATACATTTTCCAAGGGCATTTGCACGAAAGTCAACGGAAAGGTATCGGCTGGAATTTGAACTCGGATCGCTGGTCCCACTTTTCGTGCTAATAACCGCTGTGTTACACGCACACTAAGAAAAAGGAAACAAAGATAGGAAGATCGAATGAGCAAAACCTTCCTTTGTTTATTTGCCCTGGAAAAGGTCTACTCTGAACTCTCGACACAATTCGTACTGTCTATAGGCTTCATGGCCAGCTTTCGTCGTGGTTTTCGCTGATTGAATGCAAGAGCGTATGTGCGGGTAGTATAACGGATATCGGCACAAACAGTGAAAATCGGTGAGCTGAGTTCAAATTCCGGTCTTGTGTGTTGCGTTCTCTTTCGCAAAAATGCCCTTGGGAAAGTCATGAACCCGTTTCTTCTAAAGTTATAGTTTAAACAGCAGGGTAGACTGAACATTTCATACTTGGATGGCAACCAGTCTAAGAGAAGGAAAACTCTGAACTCTCAAAACGTGGCGACGAGAATAACAATTTCTTCGAGATACATGGCAATTCACAGATAAAAAAAAGGAATTAATGAAAAGCCATGAATGCCTATGCCCCGAACAAATATAGCTTATTTAAAATGCAAGAGAAATATTTTATGAAATTCAATCATGCATTTTCTTTTTTTTTTAATTTTTTACTGTTTTATTTCGATTTTATATATCTTCTCCATCGTTCTGTTTTGATTTTCTTTCAATAAAATTACATTCTTTGTTTGTAACTTTGGTTTTAATCTTTTTTTCTAGGCTACAATCATCCAAGATTAATTCAGACAGTCAAAGATGCAGAAAATACTGTAAGTAATGCTTTCTTTATAGGATAATTAAATAATCCATAGTAATCATCTTACTTTTTGTCGTTATGTGATAATACGCTAATTAATGTGTTCTTTTCTTTTCTGTATATCACGCAGTTTTCATTTCTGGATTGTACATCACTCGTAAAGTACATTAAAAGCTTATACTTCACAATCTACAACAACAAAAATGTCCGAATTGCTTAATTTGAGTAATGGCGCGTCAGACCGTTTAATCTTAGTACAAACTTATAACACTTGGACGAGCTCTCTGAATAGACAACGGGTATCAGGGCATATATTTTGATTTACGTAAAAGTTATGATTTTATTAGTCTTTATACAGTGATTGATTTTTTTTAAATTTTGTAAATGAGTCTCTATTAATGAGGAGTATTTAACAAATATAATGCAGATAACTTTGTTAATCCTGGGTATGACGATAAACTACATACGGCAGCAAGGCCTCTGATCAGGAGATTGGAGGTTTTGAATGAAACCACCTCTGAATTGCTGTTGTTTCCAGATCCACCCTGACTCTGGGGTGGTAGCACCTGTTAGGGTTCCAGCTATGGGCAAATAGTGAACCCTCAATCAAAAGCAAAATACTATGAAAGTATAAAATTAGATTTTTATAGTAAAAATACCAGCAATACATTTTCATATAAAAAATAGTAACAATTCATAGTAAAATTGCCAACAATACATATTTATGGTAACATTACCAAATTACTTCAAAGCTCTCAAAAATTTAAATTTTGGCATTAAATGACTCATAAAGAGTTGATAATCTGTTAGACAAACAAATCAATTAAATCAACATAACTTTGTCGTTCGTAAGCTCATTATAAAACATAGAGCCACAAAGATGTCACGGATGAAGAGCATGTGATAGAGTAAGAAAATACTTATCAAATTTTTGCAGTTTTACGGATTCAAGTTGTGGATAATCAGAATTATAGTTTCTAAATACTTAATATTTATATCTTGAAAATTAAGAGATGAATTAATGAATATTTGACAAAATATTAAATCGATTCAAAACAATGAGGACATTAGTCCAAACCCGTTATCGCAATTTAAAATGTTCTTTTTATTTTGTAACTCCCAAAAAAAGATGCAAAAATATGAAATAAAACTGAATATATTTTATCATCTTTTAATTGGGTGATTACATTTGTTTAGTGTTGTTGTTTTTTTCGCGTCGTACCTAGCTACAAAGGATCAATCTTGGCTGATATAGTTGTGCATAAGAGAAAGCATCTTTTTGCAAGATGCCATGGTAGCTCAAACTATGCGACGGGAATATTATTGCTATCTTCAGCAGACAACACTTAAGAAATCGATGGGAACTGCTGGAGATACCAATGCGCGTTGATGTTCTAAGAGAAATCGTTAAGTAAGTTCGCCATTATGAGTATGCGTGTGTGTGCGTGTGTGTGCGTGTGTGAATCTGTAATGGCCTTCTATTGTTTCCGCATTGGTAACAGCTGTTCTGCGTCTCAAGGAGGAAAGAGGGAAGCAAAAACTCTAAAAAAGTAAAAGAAGTGATGAAAAGGAAGAATGAATAGGACGTAGAAAGTTTATATGGAAAGGCGTAAGATAATAAAAAAGGAAAGAGATATAAAACGAATAAAAGAAGAAAGGTTGAATGAAATGTTAAATGAGAAAAGAAGTGGGCAACTTGTAGGAAGACGAAGAGAATTTAAAGAGATAAGGAGGAAAAAGAAGTCGGAAGATAGGAAAGGAAAATTAGGGAAGAATGAACATACTGAAAGAGAGAATAAGAATCGAAGAATAGATTATGGGAAAAAGAAGGCATGGACGAAGGAAGATGAAAGACAGGAGAAATAGAAAGAAAGAAAGAAAGAAAGAAAGAAAGAAAGAAAGAAAGAAAAACAAACGGACCATTGCTGGTTGAGGGGAGAGAGAGAATGGAAAGAAAGAAAGCGATTCAAAACTGAAAGAAAGAAAGAATGAAAGAAAGAAAGAATGAAAGAAAGAAAGAAAGTTGGAAATAGATTTCTTCTAATAGTTAATCAATAGAACCGATTGACGCTTGTGCCTTCGGTTTAATGGGAATAAATCAAGGAACGCACACACATTTTCTGATTTATAAATAGAAGCATTTGCAAGACGTTTTTTATCTATTTCTTTCTTTCTTTCCATTTTGTGAATATGCACTAACATTTAGATTAAATTTTCAACCACAAAAAATCCCAGTCACACAAAGCCAGATGAAGTGACACCGAACGCATTGACTCACATATAGTGAAAACTGACATGCATACGAGGGATGCTGAAAAGTTCTTGAGATGACAAAGAAACCCATCCCCACAAATTCAGATGTTTGGTAAGATTTAGGAAAGTGGATCTAACCGAGAATTTTTAAAACTTGCTCGCTCGTTCAAACTTGATATTTCACACACACACACACACACACACACACACACACACACACACATATATATATATATATATATATATATATATATATATGTGATGGCTCTTAACTCGTTAAGCGACCCATACTGACAAGTTTCATTCATGGTTTTCGTTTTCATGATTTTTTTCATTGTATAATATTTTATGCATGTGATTAATCAGGTGCATTGACAATGAAAGACATTATATTCGAAAATAAATACTTATTGTTTTAATGTTTCGTTACACTACGGACTTATTGATATAGCTACAAATATAGTTATTTGTAAAACACAATCTGATACAAGGACACAGCATCAAGAGATAATCTAACTCATTAAATTAGTGAACTGATTTTCAGGTTACTAACTATTGTGAAAAGGTAGGTGCCCGTTATATATATATATATATATATATATATATATAGTCCCCTCCAAAAGTACTGTAACGGCAAGGCCAATTTCTTTGTTTTTGTTGTTCAATAAAGACATTTGGGTTTAAGATCAAAAGATGAATATGCGACAAGACTTCAAAATTTCTGCTTTTATTTCCTGATATTTACATTTAGATGTATTAAACAACTTAAGACATATCACCTTTTGTTTGAACCAACCTGTTTTTCAAGTGAGCAAAATTAATGGAACACGTGACTGACAGTTGTTTCTTGCTGCCCAGGTGTTGCTTTTTAGATTGATTGTTTAAACATTACATTACTCTGAATGACTACTCTTGGTTTTAGCCTTGGGTTTTACCTGTAAAGATAGTATTTCTTGTTAAAAGGATAAACCAACATGAAGACGAGAAAGAGGGAGAGAAAGCTGCCTATGGGAGAAAAGCAAAGCACTTTGAAGCTGAGAAAGGAAGGAAGATCAATCAGAGTCATTGAGCAAATATTGGACATTGCCAACACAACAATCTGGAATGTCCTGAAATAGAAGGAAACTACAGGTGGACTGAGCAACAAACATAGAAAAGGTTGGCCAAGGAAAACAACAGCAGTTGGTCACAAAAACATTGTGAGAGCTGTAAGGGAAAACCCCAAATAAGAGTCACTGACATCAACAATCTCCACATTGCAGGGGTGAAGGTTTCAAAATCCACCGTTCGAAGAAGACTTCGAGAACAGAAATATAGAGGGCATACAACAAGATGCAAACCACTCATTAGCAGTAAGAATGGAATTCGCAAGAAAGTACAGACATGAGCGGCAAAAGCATATCTGAAAGCACAACACGTCGAGCCTTAAAGCAGATGGGCTACAGCAGTACAGACTATGAATGAGTCTCGATTTCTGTTGTGACATTCGGATGGTTGGGCTATAATTTGGCGTAAACAACTTGAAAGTATGGATTCATCCTGCTTTGTATCAACGGTTCATGCTGCTGTTGGTGGTTTAATGGTATGGATGGCATAGTAGTATGAACCTAATTTTTGAAAGTATCTCCAGAACATCGCCAAAACTATTCCAAGAAGAATTGAGGCGGTTCTGAAGGCAAAAAAAGGGGGTCAAACTCGGTACTCGAAGAGAACACCTAATAAAGTGACCGGTGAATCTATATGTGAAATAGAAATCTAAAGCTATATTTTCCGATATGTAGAAACGAATCTGTAAACATACTGACTGATGATTTGGAGATAACATAGGTTAAAATCCGAAGATGTAAAATAAATTAGACATGTCACTTTCGAAACGAAAGTCATTTTAATTATTTATTTAAATCAATTTTCTTCACGCAAGATAAAACAGTATTTAAAAAACTGGGCCAATTTAGAAGGAAATAGGTAGTGAAGTCGAAAGTGTGCTTCCAGAATACCATCGAATTAATGCCAAGATTTGAAGCGGTTCTAAAGGCATAAAGTGGGTTCTACTCGGTATTAGAAAAGCACACCTAATAAAGTGATCGGTATGTTATAGCTAGTCCCTTTTCCGAGTACATCCATTTGCTAAAGGGACTAGCTAGTGTTTGTAGACACTATCTCAACCAGTAATAACAGCATAAACCCAAATTTTGAAAGTTTCTCCAGAACATCATCAAATGTATGCCAAGATGAATTGAGGCGGTTTCGAAGACATAAAAAGCGGTCAGTCCCGGCACTAGAAGAGTACACCTAATAAAGTGATCGGTATATAATGGCTAGTCCTTTTCCGTGTACATCTATTTGCTAAAGGGGCTAGCTAGCTGTAGACATCAGCTACATGTCCATACTGTGATTTATACCGCAGTTATGTTGAGCAAACCTTAGTTACTATTTCTGGAAGAGGACGTATATTCAGGCATGATCATTAGTTGAACGATACCAATACACTCAAAGACTGAGTCACAATGATTCAAATGTTATTACAACTATCGTTTATATAGTGGGTACGTATGTTTTAGTAGTTATCTCTAATATTTTAAACAGTGAAATTAATGCCAGTTAATTGGAAAGTCTTGCTACTACTACTACTACTAATAATAATAATATTAATAATGGCTGCTCGTTTCGGAGTCTATCTGTCTCCTAGGATGGCTAGCTAATCTATGTTGCATGCGCCTGCTTCTAGGGGAAAGCCCTTTATCTACCATAGCTCCAACA